AGGGCTGCAGTTTCTACATCTGGTTGGGGACCAGTGCGCTGGCCGAGGCAGGGACGGCGCGTTCTGGTGAAGAAGCTGCTTGCGAGCTGGAGAGGCTGTTGCAAACATTGGCGGTGACCCTTCAGCGAGAGAACCAAGCCAAGCCATGGCTCTTCTGTTCCTCTGTCGCCAGCCCTAGAATCCGTCATCATCTTCCTTTGCAAGTTACCTCCGACATTCTGGTGTGTCATATGCTTTTCCTCTGATCCTGATTTTCAGGACTTGTGCCTTCTGGGTTAGCTCTGCGGTATAGGTTTGATATGATATGTCGTACGTATTTGAGCCCTGCCGGCTGAGTCGCGGGAAGTCACTCGTTTAAGCCGACGTGAGTTTTCGGGTAAGTGCGAAGTGGCATGGGTGCAGGATCCGGCCCATCCAGGTGGGACTCACCAACAGCTGTGAGAGGCCATGGGGACAGGCGGTGCTTTCATCAATATGTTCCTAGCCGATGTTGAGGCGCTTCAATCTGCAGAGAGTCATGAGAACCCGAAGTCGGTGTTCCGGGCACACCGGCAATGGAGCTAAAAGCTAGCAGGAGGTGGTGGTGGCTTACCCCAAAGCTCGCCAAGGCGTCCTTGCAGCAAACTGTGGTAAACAACATGTCGTATTAGAATCGGTGGTCCCGATCCCCAATTGAAAGCCAGCCGAACACACCTCCTACTCGTTAAAGGCGTCAATGGACGTCGTGTAGCTGACGCCAGCATAACGATGTCTTGCCAGAACCTCTGTTTTGTTTCATTGTTTGTCCATTCTTATCTGCCAATCGAGCATGACGTGTTCAGTAACAGGGCGGAAGTATAGAACTCAACCTTGTTTTCCGTTCCATATTGTCGTAACATAGATACGCTGTGAGCGAGCTCATGGAAGCATTCACGCATCAGGTGAATGTCCTCGCACGTTGCATAGAGTGACTGACAACGAATGTCTGTGTTACAATGGAGACTGAAGCCGCCTTCTCTAACAAATTATAGGCTGACAACTCTCCAATGAGCCACACAGCTCGCCAGTGCGGCCGCACCGTGCTAGCGGGACAGAAGCATCGACACGGCTGTTGATCTTCAGTCGACAATAACTGTCAACGTGCCCGACAGTTGGCCTCCTTTGGATCAACGGTTTCCCAATGTCGGTTTTGACGCTACAGTTTAGAGCTTATTGTGTATGGGGAAAACCACTTAGTGGGTTTTCTGTACAGCTCCGGAAGAAAACGCTTTGAAACCGCCGAGGTAAACCTGCGAGAAAGCTGGCGATGCAGACCTTGTCGCTGGTTTCATCCATCCATAGCGAAATATCTCCATTGTGGAGCCGATGCTCACAGTTTTTGTTTCAAGTTTAAAGAACCTGGTCGATCAGATAGATCATGGGAATGAGAACGGCAGCCTGTCTCGACGTGTCGACTAATTTCGCTTGGAGCGTGGAGTCTGCCCAGGGCAGCGCGAGTAACTGCGTCATCACTATCAGAGTCACCAATGTCATTGTCAGTCGACAGTTGTACCATGCGCAATTCAGTATACATTAGTGCTGCGGTCAACATTAGCATACATAGCATCGCACGGATTGGCAACCCTTGCTGAAATGCTTGTCAACGTACAAAGCATGTCATCCCTGCACATCTCGTTTCTTCGACCTGACAACACAAGCCAAGACGAACTATACAGATTATTCCGTGGCACCTAGTACTAGTACTAGTACCATTACTATTACTATTACTATTACTGCTGTTACTACTACTACTACTACTACCACCACTACCACCACTACTCCTCTTTCAAGCTGCTGCTACTGCTACTACCTCAAAAACTACTACTCCTGCTACTCCTACTCCTTCTAATACTCCTCCTCTGACTCCTACTCCTACCCACACCTACCTCTACTCCTTCTCCTACTCGCTATTCCCATCGCCATTGTAGGTACTCACGTGATTTCCTTGGCACTGCTTGGGCTATACTGTTGATTCTGGCCCACTCAGGCAGCCGCTCCCCAGATGTCCGCGGCAGCGCCTCGCAGCGCCACTCGACAGTCTTTGCAAGGGGTTCGGTGCTTTCGAAACGAGGCAGTCCCTGAGAGGCAAGAACGACTCTGTGGTGAGGACAGCCACAAGAGACTCCATGTGTGGTTAATTAAGGGATGAGGAAGGAACGGAAGTCGGAAATCGGGCAGTGTACATGTATCGTCAAGACTGTTGGTGCAATCGTGGTTCGTCGACAGCTGTGATAGGGAAGCTGGATCATCATGTCAGAAGTGCATGGCCTGCATGGCAGTACAGAGGCGGTGATGGCAACCACCAAGCATCCACCGAGGTCTGAACAAGACTGGCACGCAGCCGCACCTGTCGCGTGTTGTCTCCCAGCGTGAGGTCGTGGACATTTCCATCACAGGACTCGACACTGGAACTTTGGACTTGAGGTTGCTCTTCCTTTCTCATTAAGGAAGTTGAGATTTAGACCCATCCCCGGGCAACAGTCTTTCTTGCACTTCACTCAACTGCTGCCTTGCTCTTGATCTTGCGGCGAATTCCTCACCCTGAGCAGGAGTTGCGCCGGCAGGGGGGGCACCGGTGCGGTGATCAGACACCACTAGCCGGAATGATGACGGTTGGAACCTTCTGAACCTCGGTTGGCATAAATGCCGACATGTCATTTGCAGGCGGGCCTTTCCCCGCAAGTCCTTTTGGGCTTCCCTGTTGAGCACTCTGTTACCAAGTTTGTCGTCGTGATGTCGTGATAGTCGCTGTGGTTGTTGTGATGCAGGTGATGACAATAGCAGCAGTGGTGATGGTGGTGGTAGTAGGAGTACAATTACCACGAGGAAGAGTAATACTAGTAGAAGGAGTAGTAGCGAGCAACGAGTATTTGAAGGGGTGGCAGGTGCTAGCAGCAGCAGCCGCAGCAGAAGCCGTACCAGCCGCACCAGCAGCAGCAGCAGCAGCAGCAGCAGGAGAGGAAGGAGCAGGACGAGGAGTAGCGATAGTGGTAGTCCTGGTCGTCGTCTGTCGTAGTAGTAGTAGCGGCGGTGGCAGTACATCAGTAGTAGAAGTAGCAGTAGCAGTGCCAGTGGCAGTGGCAGTAAGTTGTCGTGGTCGTGGTGGTCATCGATGCGACAGCAGGAGTAGTAGTAACTTGCTACTACTGCAGCGGCGGAATCCAAAGTGCCATGCACGCAATAAGAAGAGCATGATATCAGCACCCGTTGCTACATGATTACCATTGTTCACAGACAGCACATATTATGGGGTGTCGGGGTAGTTCACCAAGTACTTGGTCTAAGTGGCTTGATTATAATTATGCTATACCTGCTGAGCTGCTGTGAGGTGCTTTCGTCATCATCGGGGTCTGCTGAGAGTGCAAGGAAGTTCGCCCACCTGGTGACACGCATTCCTGAGCCATCCTTCCGTCCGCGAGATGGCCACGGCATCCGAGGCATCATGCGCAATGTACAGTGGGCATCCAAGATGCCACTGCACACCCAGCCCTGGCTGGAGCTACACCGAACTCGATTGCACAAGCTCGAAGTAGAGAGAACTAGTTGGTGTACTTGGAGCCGGAAACCGTCAGCCAACAGTAGTCTTGGCCGGACCTGGGAGCGAATTCGGTGTGATGCTCTGTCCACTACGCAGAGGCTGTACTAGCAGTTGCCAGCTGTGACAGAGGCACAGTTTTATCTACCTGCTTATGCCTACCTTCCTACCTGCCCACCCGCAAACCCACCTATCCGTCTACCCGCTACCCAGTTGATTCATGTAGGGTTGGCCCGCAAGTGTTGCTTGCCGTCGCTTGCTGTTGCGCTGGTGAAGACTGGCGCTGAGCGTACTGACGCACAATGGTGCGCAAGACTCCAGCAGCCCGAGTCCACTTCAGCTTCAGAGTAGCTGCTGCCGTGACCAGTACAGTCTGCAGTTAAGAGTGGAAGCCTGGCCTGGGCGGTCTGGCCCAGCACAGAGGTTGTACAGTGGCCTTGATCTCACCCGACAGCAGTCGAAGAATCGCGCAGGTTGAGTCCCTAATTTAGATCCCGGCACCCTGCCGTCGAACACCGGCTACAACGTCGAGATGCCGCAGCCGTTGTGGCTCCCTAGGGGTTGCATCGGCAGTGCATTTTCCACCGCTCTCGGTCTTCGCACCGTCAGCGAGCGCCTAGGATGCAAGGGGCAGGGCAGCCCCCTTAACACTAGAGACCATCGAGAAGCCTTGGACGCTGGCTCTGTTGGATGGTGTTTTCCACCCCGTCGGGGTTCCCTCGAGCAAGGACATCTTGGGAAGATCATAGCGGCATGCCAGACAGCATTTAATGGACTGCCGACGGGAAGGAAGTATTCGAAAGCCTGTCGCCCCCTTCCAAAGCCTAAGCCGACCGAACTCTGTCTGCATCCGCAGCCGCAACCGCCGAGTGCAAGGCAAGCTCTCAACAGCCCCCTCCCACCGTTTCTACAAAAGAATTGCAGTGATACATATAAATAAACAAACAGATAGAAAACTAAATAGTAAATAGATTCATCATAGGTAAAAAAGCCATAAAATAAAATAAACAAACAAATAAGTAAATAGGTAAATACACACACACACATATATATATATACATATATACATATATATATATATATATATATCTATATATGTATATATATATATGTAGATATAAATATAGATATGATTACTATACATATGCATATACATGTACATGTACATACACTTTTACATATGCATATACTCTTATATATCTTATATATATATATATGTATGTGTATGTGTGTATACGCAAGCGTAGCTACATTACACAGAACACGAACTAGCCGAAGGATTGCGTGCTAATGACATCTCCCAGGGCCATGAGAATCCTATTTTGCACATAAACACCGACCACAAATCCCGCCTAAACCCTGAACCCTAGACCCCTGAACCCTAAACCCTAGACCCTAAACCCTAAACCCTAAACCCTGAATCCTGAACCCTGCAGCCTATGAGGCCATGAGACTCCTGGGCTTCCTCCTCCTGGCCCACCGGGCGCTGGCCGACGTGGCCTTCCTGGCGCCCTCCGCACCCACGGCGCGAGCGCCGAGCGGCCCCTGGGGCTTTTTTGGGTCACGGAGAAAAGTAGGGTAGAGTACGGTTTAGTGTAGTATAGTATACTGTCGTATAGTAGAGTATAGTATAGTGTAGTATAGTGTAGTGTAGTGTAGTAAGCATAGTACAGGTCTAGTCTCGTTTGGTATCGTACGGTCAAAGCAAGAGCGCAGGGTAGTAAAGTAGAGTAGACTCTAAACGGGGCGGCATGGAGGGGCGGGGGCAGCTTAGCTTGGGGCTAAGGAGCTTGCGGAGGCTGAGGGCTGCCGTTTTGGGCGGCTGGGTGGTGGAAGTGGGGGTGAGTAGAGTGGGGTGAGGTGGGGGGCTGGGAGCCGATTTATGCATGACAGCTGAAGTGTTGAATTTCAGGTCTCATTCCTTCAGTCATTCGCGATGCGGAGCTGCCCGTGCCGCCCAAGCAGGCCAGCGCCAGAGCGCAGGTAGAAGCGAAATAATGAAAGCATACAGTTGCACACTGAGGACTTTGGCAGGCCGATTTAGTGCTAAACTTTCTGCAAAGCCGCTCTGACTGCAGGCTGCCTCAACAGGCATGAGCACGGCACTGCTGCTTGGTGCCTCTGCCGTGGCTTTGGCTCTGGCACCTTGGTTGAACATGCGTTGATAGCTATCTAAGCGTTAGTGCAACTCCCCTAAGCTGGCCCGCTCAGGCACGTCGCCGAGCCAACCTGTCTAGACGGGTCTGGACCTACCAGCCCATCGAGGCGTGATGCGCTGCCCGAAATCTCCCCTCCATGCGTCGAAGAATGTAGCCAAGCTTGCGCCGCTGTCTTTGCTGGTAATGCTTAGGCATGACTTTGCATGCTCATGCCTTGCATGAGCAGTACTGGTGATCTTCTTCATGACGAACCGCAAGCCCAAATGCCTAAGCCCTAAATTCTAGACCCTAAGCCCGAAATCCGAAATCCTGAACCCCAAACCTTAAACCCGACTCCGACGAGCCCGAAGGAGAAGATCTGCCCGGGCTTGGGTAAGGAGGCGGCGTCTGGACCCCTTTGGCGCCAGTACATGCGCCTTGACAGATTTTGATGTTGCATTGTACAAGTACTGTACTCGGCTAGACTAGACTCTGCGATGTACGATGCGGTACAACACTATACCGCCTATTTCTATACCAATATACTTTAACTATACTTTTCTCTTCTGTTCTGTTGTACGGTAACTAACGCACAGCAGCGACCATTGTAACGTGGTCATGGGCCTGCAGGGGTAGATAGATGTTCTGCTACCTATTCTCACTGAGGAGTTAGTCCAGCCTCTGCTTCAGCGAAACTTACAGCCAAGGAATCTGCGCCGACAGTCCAAATCACCATACGGCCGAAAGGCTCCGTTGCTGTAGCGACTTCTTCAGAAAGGGCTTCATGGCCTCTTTGTAAAAATAAACCCCCGTAGCTCGATCCTTCAGTTCTTTGGAAGCCTTGGACCCTTTTGAGAGGTTTGGGAATGATAGCTCGCATTGTGAGACATAGCGGCTCTTCCTCCTAAAGCTCTCTCGAGATTTAGCCAGGTCAAGTATCTCAAGCAGCAGCGAATTCTCCGCGACCACAATGTCTGGTGGGCAACGTACGGCAAGTGGAACGTGTGGAACCCCAACCCGGGCATCAAGAGCAACTACACGGCTCCTCGTCTTCAAACGGGAGGAGAGGGTTGCCGGCTTCAGTCTGTTCAGTTGTTTTGAAGCCTCCTTTGTCCCAGCATCGTGGAATCGAACAGCCCAAAAGACCCGGCTTTATTCTTGGATTCCTCGTGCCCCACGCCCCATTTCTGTCGTCTACTGAGGGTCCAGACTCGCATCCGGACAATCCAGACTCTTGGTTGCAATACACGTGGTTCAGCCCATAGAAATCGGCGCAATCAGCGCAGGACATTGCAGAGATGGATGAGAGTCATGTATCGATACGCGGGCGGCTGGAATGGTAGGTAGGAAGGGGCCAGGCAGTTGTACTCGTAGTTCGTTGGTTTGAAAGCTGGACCTGGAAGGTTGGCCATTCCTCGTTGTGCGAGCTGTGGGGTAGCTTGTGGATAGGCGCATAGGCGGATATGCATGTGGAGAGAGATCGATGGAGACACCGTGTAGTCAAAGACACAACTGGGCTCACGCAGTTCTGCAACTGCAGCCGGCAGAGTTGGACCGGTGTTAGATAAAGGTAGACAGACAGACGGCGAGTCTCGGAGGAGGTAGCTGCCCCTCAGAGCTCAAGTCCTCCAGACAGCCGAATACGAAAATGCGTGTGTGGTGTATATACTATATATGTATGTATGATTCTGTATGTAAGTATGCATGCATGTATGTATGTGTACAGTAATGGTGTGTGTATGTTATGGTATGGTACGGCATGGCACGGTCTGGTCTGGTATGGCATGGTACTTGTATGGTGTGGTATGTATGTGTGTATAGTACAGGCTCACATGCAGAAGCTTGGGTGGGCCTTAGCTTCGCAGCACACACGTGCGCGCTGCATAAAGTACATGCATCTCGATCTAAGGCTCCTGGAACGTTGGTACATGTTGTACACAGAGCACAGCGCAGGAGCAGATTGAAGTCTTGATTGATGCCAGTTCAACTTGGGCATGGTGACGGAATGGTGGGGTTCGAAGCAGCCCTCGTCAGTCCTCGTCTGAACCTCCGACTTGACTCCCTTCCCTGAGGCTAACCCGCCTCGTGAAGACAAATGCAGTGAAACCCCTCCAGCCTAAAAGTCCCCGGCACTCGGGGCTCTTGGCTACCATAACCGCAGCCTAGGACTTCCCTGCGCCCAACAGCGGGCTGCAGGCCTTTGGCAGTGCGGGCCCTGCTTTACTTCCGATGCTGAGTGTGACGGTTGCCGCAGCGGACCGTGAATTGACTACTACTATGTTTTTACGGTCGCCTTCATATCAGGCTATATATTGCTCTTCGTCTTGATGTTGTTATATTTTTTTGTATTTTCGTCAATTTTATGCAAGCTGGTGTCTTACTTCTATGTTTCACGTCTCTGAAGGTGGTACGGACTGTCGTTCTGCTCAGCTTCTGTCTGCATCTTTGCAGTTTAGAACTTTTCGCACCAAGGAATGGTGTCACGAGGTGTGGTGATAGTAATGAGGATCTTTCGTCGGCGGGCATGGTGGCTGGTCGTCGTAATGACGGTGGTGGTGGCGACGGTGTTGATCCTTCTGGACTTCTGGCCGCTGCTGATGCTGCTGGTGTTGTTTGTGGCGGTGGTGGCGGTTCCTGTGATGAGGTTGGTGGTGGGGTCGTGGTGGTGGTTGCTGTTGTTGTTGATGTTGTCGTGCTTGGACAATAGTGGTGCTGTTCGCCACTGTTGTACCTCTATCATCAACATCTCGATCCTTGTGGTCGTTGCCGGAGCCGCTCTTGCTGTGATTGTCGCTCCCGGTCGCCGTCTCTGTCGTCGTTGACTTAGCGATCGTCCAATGCATCGCAGAGCTCATGATAGTTTTGGTCGTTGTCCTCCTCGCAGTCGCTGCATCAGCGTGTTTGACAGGCACCTGAGCCTTCACCTCCCTCATGTGTCCTACACCACCCGACACCGTGGTAGAACCAAGGCGTCTCTGTCGCTTCTTTGAGCACTCGCAGCTCCTTTGTGGCCGGCAGGCAGTCCCGGCTTCTTGCTCAGTTTCGGTGTCTTCACCATGAGAGTTGGGGCAGCTGTTGCATTACTGCTTGTCCTTGTCTAGCTGGCCTACGCAAGGTGTCGGAGTCTACGTGTCTGCAGTCTCTTGCATTGGTTGTTTATCCTACGGTCGGGATCGTGCATGGGGCTACCGATCCCGATTCAGGATCGGCCATCATTGAAAGTCACGGCCGTTTCACAACAGTAGGTAGCTTGGAGGATGGAAAGCTCCTGCAAGGCTTCTACTTCGACCATTCCGAACATAACAGGATGTAGAGATGCGTTTCGTGATGCAGAGGTGTTTCTTTTCGGAGGTGTAGCTGTAGAGTCTCTGTCTATCCGTAGTGTGAACACCTTTTGTCCCGGTGTCGGGCGCCTACAAGCCTAGGAAGCGGGCTCACACTGGGTAAGCCATTCATTTGCCCTTGCTCGTCTTTTCTCCACAGGGTGCCAACGATGGGCTCTGCCAAGCGAGCAGCTTTCGGCCTCAGTCCGTAAGTTAAAAGCAAGAGGGAGGGAGCGGCAGCTCTTGCAGTATGCTTGCGTGCGTTCTTCCACTCATTGTCAAGGGTCCACAATACCTGTTACATGACAAAACACTCGGCATGGTAGGAAGAGTGCAGTAGCTTGAGTCCAGTGACCTTGCCTGAACTGCTACACGCTGGTGGGACATCAATCATTGTGTATGTGCAGCCTTGCTGGGTGAAACGCTGCCTTGCTGAGGCACCGACTCGTGGATTCCTTTAACTTCGCTACTTCTGCTGAAGACCAAAACCTCACGATATGAGCCTTAACCACAAGTAGTCAACTTTGTAGTAGCCAGAGGCAGGCTCGGAGGTCAGTACAACATGGATGCTTGGCTTCGCTTTTAGGTAGAGAGTCCGGCGCCGCTGGCATCTACCGGGGGATGTGAGTACAGATACGAGGGCCGAGTCGAACATCTAGCTTGTCTTCGTCCATGGCTAAAGCTCCTCACCCAGACTGATAGCCGGTGACAGCTGTGTCTCACTGGCGTTTTGCTAGCACGCCTTTGCCAAAGGCCCCGCTTCATTAAGACTACTATTTTGCTATCATTAATTAGAAAAGCAAAAGCCATCAATTTTCTTCTCATTCTTTCATCACAGTCTTTGAGGTCCTTTCGGCTTCCCGAGCTCGGTCCGGGCTGGTGATGAAGGCCCACAAGAAGGCGCCAAAGAGCCACGAACTCTGCAGCCTTTGGAGTTTGACACGCCAGGGCGGCAAGGGGGTAAAATTGCTGTCGTTGATGCCGCCGGTTGAACGTTCCTGCCTCAAGAGACGAGAGTGAGAAAGGAAAGCATGTAGTTTTGCTGCATGATGCAGAGCCAAGGCTGTAAAGTTGTGCAGCAACACTCCCAGAGTAGATAATTTGTGGCCCAGTCCTTCGTCATCCTACTCATCCTGTGGGATTGCAGAGTATTCTTAGCTGTCACATCCTGCCGCTGTCAGCGCAGAGTCGTGATCAGCCAATGTCGGCCGAGTGCACTGCAGAGTGTGAGTATACTGTTTGTGTCGCCACCACCGCGGAAGAGGTGGCGCGTTGCCTGTCGCTTCGACATGAAGTATTTGTCCAGGAACACAAGGTACCGGCAGAGGCCGAGGATGATGGAAAGGACCCAGATGCCCTTCACATCATGTGCACAGAAAACAGCCAGCTGATCGCCACCGGGCGGGTCTTGATCACTGGCCATGAAAGCCAGGTGAGGGCTGACCTTGCCCGTGTCGCCGTCCGAGCAGACCGCAGAGGGCGGGGCTTGGGGGGTCGGATTGTCCAGGAGCTCGAGACCCTCGCCCGATCAAAAGGAGCAAGCCTTGCGAGGTTAAGAACTACCACCTACCTGGAGCAATTCTATTCGCGGATGGGATATCTACGACCGTCCGATGATGTGATCACCCACCTTAGTGACGAGTACCAGCTCATAACGATGGAGAAGAGCCTTGATGCAGAAAGCACTAAAGTGTAGGAGGGTAGTCCCAGGCACCCATGAAGTTTCGCATGGATGCCACTACTGCAGGCCGACCCCCCGCGATCGGAAAAGAGTGCGACAGAGCTTTCACAGGGGCATCACCGTATTGGAGCACACGCAAGGGCTTTTTTTGCACTCATCCTTGTAGCTGCTAAATCACAAGTCTGCGGATTCTGCGAACCCGGGGTTCGTCACAAAACTTGAAACATGCTGCCTGGTCAGTTTCTCATTTTTCCTCCGTGGGCTTAGTACGTCGGCCCTTGAACTACTTCCCGTGTCAACTCTCCGCAGCTTGATGGAGGCAGCTGCAAGTACCAAGAACCAGGGCAACACACGCAATCCTCATCACTGGGGCGCCACTTGGTGCGGTGTTCATTGCTGTGCAGCCTTGGATTCGAGGTCGAGGGTCGGGAATTTTTTGTGAAAATAGTAGCAGTCGGATACGAGTTACTGGTGATTAGCTGCACAATGTGTCATACCTAGTCACAGTAGCAGTCGCGGAGTTGTAGAGGCAGTTGTGATGATAATCACAGCAGTCCTTCGTCGTCGTGGTAGTGGTAGTCGTAGTATCCCTATAAACCCTAAAACAAATACAGCTGTGCAGCATTGTGCAACCCAGGTCAAGGCATTGAGTGGCAAGGCTGTGAAGTGCCGCCAGCGGCTTGTGAAGCAGTGCCGCGGTCGAAGAATCGGAGTTTCAGATATTCAGGGACGCTGGTAGAACCCTGAACATGGCACCTTATATGCAGTTTGGCATCATAAAACCAGCAGAATTGATCACAACAATAAACATAACAATAACAAGTACCATGATAATCACGTAATCACAGTAACAACAACAACATGGCGAATACTAATACTAATACGAATACCTATGCTAATCCTAATGCCAATACTTCCACTAGCACCTTGTGCCGGGAATTTAAAACAATTTTTCGATGGAGCCATCTTGGTAATCTTGGCAATCTTGCCCCCCCCCCCCTTGCCCCACTTTCCCCACTTGCAGGCTCGCCGACTAGTTTACCTTTTGGAGACCAAGATTGCAAGGTTGCTTGGCAATCATGCTCCCCCCTTGCAATCTTGGTCTAGAAGGTAAACTAGTCGGCGAGACCAAGATTGCAAGATTGCATGGCAATCTTGCTCAAATGATTGTTGCGAATTCCCGGTACACGGCACAAGTACTAAAGCAGATCCTGATATGAACGCTGACCTTGTCCTGACCCCAATCCTAATCCTATTCCCAGACTAATGCTAATACTAATATTCATACGCTCATACCCAACTAATAGTAATACGAATACGAATACTTACTATTGTCACACTAATACACATACACTTACTAATGCTAATCCGAATACTAATAGTCACACGAATACTAATACTAATACTAATGCTAATACTAATACTTAGTACTAATACTAGGACGAATAAATATTGATACCAATTACAATACCAATTGCCAATACCAGTACTAGTACCAATACCAGTACTAATATTCATACTAGTACGAAAAAATCTTAATACTACTTACTAATACCAATACTAATACGCATCGAAATACTAATGCGAGTAACATGTTCAGGAAGAATAACAGCAACACGCCCAAACCTACTAAAAGTGAAAAAGAGCGGGCAATCGGGGTTTAGAATCGGAGCCGGAGTTGGGAAAAGTTGTTGGGAGCGAAGAAGCGAAGAGCTACTTCGAAGGCAAGCGCCGGCTGGCATTTCCGTTGTGTATTTTTTTATGAGTATCGTGATTCAGTGTATTACCATTTTCACCACTTTTACTTTTAAACTACTACTACTGTTTGTGATTTTTTGCTTATTGTGAGTATTCTGATTCTTCCTATTACTATTCTTTTTGCATATCACTGTTATTGTTGCTGTCATCGTTGTTACGTGCCACAACTGCGGTTGTTATGAATGCTACTACTGCTGTGTTTATATATGTATACCTGTATATCCAGATCTACTTAGTTACCTATTTGGATTGTGACTGTGGCGACGAGGCGCGCCATGAACTGGTACCCTGGGAACAATGTGAAGATGTGCAAGCCTCTTGCCTGCAGCTTCCCACCTTTCCGAGCTGGTGGCATGTTTGTCAGTTAGTTAGTCAACACCAGTGTCGAGAGTCGTGATGTGCTGACAGTCTTCTTGTCGTCAGAGCCATTGTCGTCATCAGAATTCGTTTTGAGTTTGGGTTGTTGGAGTAAGGGGTGCAAGGTAGCCACAAGAACAAGAAGTTGGTTTGGCTCTCGCAAATCGGATCCGGATTTCGGATGAGGTCATGTGTTGGGCAAGCCGAAGCTTTCCAGCATTTTTGAGCGCCGCCTTAGGGATTGTGCAATGACCATGGGCCCTACCAGGAAGCAGCGTTGGAACACCTGAAGCCGATTCTGGGAGATTCCGTGAAACCTTGGGCCTACACCTCCGGCTTTCAGGGACATGTCGCTGATTGCCCTGAAAGACGGCATCGTGCAGTGGCGTGGCGACTACCGTCACAAGGAGGCCACAAGTGATAGCGTGGGGCACGCTAACTCCATGCCTGCAAACCGATGAGCTTCAGGGCTGAGAGATTCCGGTTTGGAGATATAGCGTTTCTGTGCTGGCTCCTGCAGGTCAGCGTTGTGCCCTGGGAGTATGTGACGAACAAGTGCCGATGGTCTACCTCGAGCACTCTGGTGCCTCGAAAGCAACAGCCTGAACTCGAATGACTGAGCGAGCCAAGCTCCAATCCCAAGCACCCTAAAACCTAAATCCTGCTGGAGCCTGGCATCCCCGAATTTTTCGACTTGAGCCGAGGCACCCCAGAAGTACGAGCCCTGGATGGGCACCAACTTCGATCGTGTGGGCACCCAGAGACTTCCCTCAGTGGCCAGGGATAAGCCTTCAGGTTCCCTGCGTTTCCGAAACGGCAGTCCTCGCGCCGCAATTGGTTTTTGACTCCCAGTCCATTGCACGGCAAGAAAACTAAGCCACCTTGCCGAGGTTACAGCGACAAGTGGCCCATCCGACAGATGTTTGAAGAGTGGAAGGCGGGATGACCCTGCCTGTGATTTCAATGCTGACGATCCCGCACAACTGCTGAGGAGACAGAGGAGGGAAAGGCTTGGATCGCCAAGAAAGAGGAAAAGAAGGCCCGACAACAGCGCGAGCCCGCAAGCGTGTGCCAGACAAGCCTGCTTCATCTCTTTCGTTCCGGGACGTGGTCTGTTAAATGTGCTGCTCCGCCTAAATCGGTTGGTCAGCTTAAGCTGTTTATGGTCTCAGGTACGGTTCAAACTCTAGTATCAGCACGGTTTTTCAATTTGCTGATGGTAGCACGTGGCTGTGTGCAGTGGCGATGCTCACTGCGCGTGCGGGTGCGAGGCCAAGCAGAAAGAGATCCAGAAGAAAATTCGGTGCCCCTGCTGAGATTGGAGCAGGGTGAAGGTTTTTTGGTTTCGCCGGGAGGATCCGGGAGGTACGGACACAAGTGACATGATAGACCCAGCAAAGTCATCATCACCATGATGATGATGACGACGATGATCAATCATCAAAACATTATCATCGTCACCACCTCCGCCACCACCGCCACCACCGCCACAGCCATCGCCATCGCCATCGCATCAGCATTGCCATCGCGATCGTCAGCGCCGTCTCCATCATCATCATTATCATCATGATCATCCCCATCATCGTATTTTTCTCACTGCGCAGGATTCATGCCTTGCAATCCAGAGCCCGGCTGAGAAGGCTCCATAGATTTCGGGGCTGTCTTGTTTAAAGAGCAGTTGTGGCCCAGCCTAAGGGCAAAGAAGGCTCTCCGATGGCAAGGAAAGGGCAAAAAGCAAGACAAGGCCGGCACACTTGAGTCTGCATGTCAACTGCAGCATGAAACGGCTCACGTCTAGAGTTGCGAAATCCTTGTTCCCCGTTGCTAGTGCTCGCAGGCCTTCAAGGGCTCGAGAGTTCGCAGAGCCTGTTCAGTCTAGGGAACTATTCTGGCGAGACATTCGGATGCCGGTGGCCGAAAAGTCAGGAGGCTGTCAGCCGGAGAGCTAAGACTTAGCCGTCGGTTGTTGTGTTCTTACTGCTTGAACTATGGACGACACCAGTGCAGGTCCTGGTTGTGACAGTTGCAGACCCCCAAGGCTGTCCAAATTCGAGAAATGCCACAAGTTGGCTCAAGGGTGAACGGTTTTTGAGTTAGAGGCACCCACGTGCGCCAAGACTGAATTGAGAGCTTGCGAGATCATGCCGGTCGCACTGCCAATCCTGTGGCTTCTGGATGCAAGAGCCGATAAACCCTAGGACTTGATGGATAAGCCCAACAACCCAGACCACAAACCCGACGCTTTGCAGGTCACCGCCGGAGACTCCGACAGCGAAGCTGAGAAAGCCTAAGCCGCGATCAGCAAGAAGAGAGGTCCGCGAAAACGACTCAAGGCCCCACATCCCGATCCCAAACGCTACAACTTTAAACCTCTGGGGAGCCCAAAAATGAGATCCCCCAGAAAGCCCAAGATGCCCAAAAAAGAAGGTCTAGGCCTCAAAAAAGCCGCTGGTCCGCAGACAGGGACAGACGAGTCGCATAGAGCAGCTCGGGTCGTTGGGTTCTCTGTTTCAGTGTGTAGGACAGTGTAGGATAGGATTGTGATTCAGCTGAATTTAGCGTGTAGGGTCGGGCACTCATTCCACCGCAGGAGCTATAATATACAGCCAGCAGGCAGCCGCTTGCAGATCGTCTTGATGAAAGGCTCGGTAACTTTCAGGTTTTTTTGGAACCAGACTTTGAAATTTTCAGGGGAACCTTAGTTTGGGTTCAGACAATCCCATCGCAAAACACTGTCTGGTGCTGCCGAGCCTGCTGTCTGCGACAGAGCTACTTGGAACGAAGATTTTCGTCGTTGGCGGCTGTCGCGAAAAGTGATGAGTGTTCCTTCAGCTGTGGGGCGATGATTTAGGTCTTGATCTTGGTTGTTAACGTTTATCCCGGCACTGTTTATCCCGGCACTGACATATCGCAATGCAGCCATTTCGCTCAGCCACGGAAGCGGGCCGCTGCACGACAACTGTGAGTCGTGTGGTCACCCTTGCAGTTCTGAAATATCCCTGCATCACCGGTTATAAATGAGAAGAGCTGAAGCTTTCGACCACTAAAAGTAGCCAGGGTGGTAAAGCTCCCGGCGCAGGTCCTCCCCACACTCCCAATCCTCAGCTCTCCAGAGAAGCCATGGCGCTGTCTTTGCTGCGACTTTCTGAACTGGCCGTCGCCGTCGAGGGCTAAGTGGGGCACAAGACACTGCAAGATGTCTGGTTCCTGGCTCCGGTAATTCGTACTCGTAGCACCCTGGCGGGCCCGAGTCTTCTTAAGCCCACCCTAAACCCTAAACCCTAAACCCCTCTGCCGAGGCCTTGGTAAACGTGCCTGGCTCCTGTGCGGCCTGGGCCTCGCGGGGGTTGCAGCTTTAAATCTCTGCAGGGCTCCGAGGCTTGAGCAAGAGTCCTTAGGAGGATTCTTTTATTCTTCCGGGACAGGTTTGGAGATGGAGCTAAAATGCATGAGCCGGTGCAGTACATCTACGAGGCAACATGGCATACTTGATGCATAGTGTTTTTGGCAACACCCGTACATCTAGGGCGGACACAACGAAGCATTCAGCACGGCTGGCACTGCACATCTACAGGAGACATGCAATAGCTGTTCTAAGACTGCCGCACGAAGTCACCCTTAATCCGAAGTCCCAAACCTCAAAAACACCTAAACCCAGACCATAGTCTGAACTCCCAAGCATGTTGCTTTGGGCTTGGGGGCTCTTGCACCGGTCACGGCTTGGGGAACTTGGGGGCAGAGAATTTGGAAGGATGCCTTGCAGCTGCTGGCAGAGAATGTTAGCATACTCTCCGTTACTCTCCCTGCACGTCTGAGTCCAATCTCAACTCAACAACTGCATCCTGAACAGCCGGAAGCCGAAATCCTACACCACTAGCCTGCTGGCTTTTCAGGACCAGGATCTTATTACTATGCTTGCTGCGAACGCCTGTGTCCACCTCAGCCGGGTTTCAGTGTCCTGACTTGTCGTGGCGAATGGCGGCGTGTTCTGGCCAGACTCTGGGTCATAAGCAGCATGCAAGCATGAGGTCCCCACAGCAACTAGTGTAAATCATGCCACCCCAAGTCCAAAACCCAACATGGCCTTCCGCTACTCCGTTAGGCTGAAGTCACGAAAGCCCGGAGAGGAGAGGGCCTGGGGTGCTTTGGGGGGGGTGGGTGGGTTGGCGGGCGGTTGGCGGTTGGCGAGGGGGCTTCACCATCGAGGGTTTTGCGAGCCATTCCCTGCCCGGGCTGGCCGGAACCGCTGCCATAGCATAGGGGCCAGATGTCTAGGCTTCCTTTCGCATCTCGTCTTGCCAGCAGCTGCTCCTGCTTCAGGGTTGTTTGCACTTCTTGTTGTCGATTCTTGCAGTTACGTTTGGATGTTTGCTTGGATGGATGGGATGGAATGGAATGGAGTGGAATGGAATGAGATGGAAGAAAATGTATGTGTGAAGTCGTGTCATCAGCCCCGTCCGCTTTCGTCCCGGCCCTCGGAACATCCCGGCTCCGAGGTCAGACGCCTTCGGAGCAGCGGCCGGCTAAGAGTCCGTCAAGTTGTAGGGCTCCCCTCGCTAGCTTGCCCCCCCCAGAAAATTGCAGAATGCATGCTAAACCCTAATCCCTAAGCCCTAAACCTACAGAGGTGTCAAACAAAAGCAACCTAGGAGGAGTTTCGGGAGCGAGGTGCTTGGGTCCGGTGCCGGGGCCGGAGTAGCCAGCGGAGGTAGAGGCAAATCTCATTGTATCATTATAGTAGTATAACATGTATAGCAGTATTCTTATAACCGTATGTTTTACTAGTATACTCTAATCATATCTATTCTAGTAGTAGATTGTAGTAGTATACTGTAGCAGTATTTCACGATAGGATCTTCAAAAGCCCTCCTTTCCTTTTGCATTGGCTCAAGTTGGCGTAGCGGAAGGGGCCCCTGGCTGGAGC